GAGAAGAGAGAGAGAGAGAGAGAGAGAGAGAGAGAGAGAGAGAGAGAGAGAGAGAGAGAGAGAGAGAGAGAGAGAGAGAAGGAAAAAAATCTCATTTTCCTCACCCAAGTTTCGAGAGGATGAGCACCTCCATCCGCCGGAAGTGGTGCGGCCGGTACGTCCCCGCGCACATGGACACGAGCTCGGTGATTCCGGGCACGACGCACTCCTCCTGTGAAAGGAATAAGAGGATAAGATAAAGAGGAATAAGAGGAAAGATAAGGAGCTCGGTGATCCCGGGCACGACGCACTCCTGTGAAACGAATAAGAGGATAAGATAAGAGGAATAAGAGGATAAGATAAAGAGGAATAAGAGGAAAGATAAAGAGGAATAAGAGGATAAGATAAAGAGGAATAAGAGGAAAGATAAAGAAATAAGAGAATAAGAGAGGAAAAGTTAAGAGGAAAGATAAGAGGATAAGAAAGAGGAATAAGAGGAAAGATAAAGAGGAATAAGAGGAAATAAGAGGAATAAGAGGAAAATAAGAGAATGAGGAAAGATAAGAGGAATAAGAGGAAAGATAAGAGGATAAGATAAAGAGGAATAAGAGGAATAAGAGGAAAGATAAGAGGAATAAATGGAAAGATAAACGAATAAGAGGAAAGATAAGAGTAAGAGTCATAATGGATCAAATATAATAATAAAAATTAGGCATTGCACGGAATAAGAGGAAGAAATTCTCATATTTGGAGGCGAGACTATGGAGTCACAATGGATCAAATCTAATTATCAAAAAATAGGCACTGAAGAGTGAAGGTTATAATATAAGGATAAATATATATAAATGTATATATAATGATAAATATAATGGTAAGAAATTGGCACTGTTGAGTGTAAAGGTTGATATTAAAATGGCAATAATACTAACAGTAACTTTGAGAATATCAATAATAATATTTAACAATAACTATTAGAAAAATTAAAAATAAACGCACAACATAAAAATGGTCTTCCACTGATTGACCTAATGTTAAGTACACCTAAAACCATTCCAAGATACACTGTAGATTTTATTACAGTTTTGGAGTTTGTGACATCACCTAGTATTGACCATGGCACCATAGGCAATGAGCAACACGCATAGATTCTTATCACTTTATCAATCAAAGGCTTAAAAAACACTTTATTATGTTCACCAGACAGTACAGTTAAAATTCAGAACATAAGTATCTAATATTCTTCAAAACGTCTTCTATGCCTCTTCCTTGCCATTTTCTCAAGATATTTCATCACGGACTATACCACTGCCTTTAGAAGCAATATCTCGTTTCCCATTTTTTATGAAAACCTCATCCCCTATAATATTTCCTTCAGAAGCAAACCCTCGCTTCCCATTTTCTATGAAAATATCATCCTTTACTGCTCCATTTCCTTCAGTAGCAACGTTTCCCCTTTTCTATAAAAATCCCATCCCTGACTGTCCCACTTCCTTCAGAAGCAACCCCTCGCTTCCCATTTTCTATGAACACCTCACCCCTGATTGTCCCATTTTCTATGAACAGCTCACCCCTGACTGTCCCATTTTCTATGAACACCTTACCCCTAACTGTCCCATTTCCCTCAAAAGCAACCCCTCTTCTCCCATTTCCTCCAGACGCAACACCACCTCCCCCTCTCACTCACCATCTTCGCCGCCACGAAGAGGGCCGCCACCGCCAGGAGCTGCAGACAGTCCTGCGCGAGCGGCGTGACCACGAGGAACCGGTCTGCGAGGTTCACCGCCAGGAACACCGTCTCGGGACCGAACTGGAGCTGGTGGTTCACTTTGATTAACCAGTGGACCAGAGTGCAGCGCATGTACTCCGTTACCTGGAAGGAAGGGTGAGGGGGTTCAGAAGGGGGAAGGAGGTGGTGGAGGTGGTGGTGGGGTGAGTAGGAGGGTTGAGAGAGGGAAAAGAGGGGGGTGTGAGAGAAGGAAAAGAGGGAGGGAGGGAGGGAGAGGGAAGAGAGGGAGGGAGGAGGAGAGGGAGAGGGAAGAGGGATGGGAGGGAGGGGAGGGAGAGAGAGGAGGAGGGAGGAGGAGGAGGAGGGAGAGAGAGGAAGGAGGGAGGAGGAGGAGGAGGGAGAGGAGGGAAGGAGGGTAGGGGAAGGAGGAGGGGAGGGAGAGAGAGGAAGGATATAGGAGGAGGAGGGAGAGAGAGGGAAGGATGGAGGAGGAAGGGAGAAGGGAAGGATGGAGGAGGAGGAGGAGGGAGAGAGAGAGGAAGGAGGTAGGAGGGAGGAGGAGGAAGAAGAGGGAGAGGGAAGGATGGAGGTAAGAAGAAGAGGGAAGGAGGAGAGGAAGAAGGGGAAAATGAGGATGAGGAAAGTGATGAGAAAGAAAAGGAACACGAGGATATGAAGGAAAGGAGGAGGGGAAGATGAAAGAAAGAGAGGATGAGGATGAGGATGAGGATGAGGATGAGAAGAGTGCGAGCGTGGAAGGAAAGGAAGATGGAGAGGAAAAGAAGGAAGAACAGAAGGAAGTAAGGAATAGAATGAGAGAGGGATAGAAAGTAGTAGAAGGTGAAGTGAAAGAAGAGGAGGAGAGGCAAGGGGGGAAGAAGAAATAGAACGTAAGGGATAAAAAGACAATGAAAAACAGAAAACCAAAAAAAAATCAAAATAAAAAACAAACAAACAAACAAACAAACAAGAAAACCCATAAAACAAATAAATAAAAAAAACGAACTCAAGAGCCACTCACCTGGGGCTGATCCGCCATGCAGTTGTACGGATGGTAGAGCTCCTCCTTCGACTTCTTGATGGCGTAAATATCGTCGGCGTACTGGTACCCTAGCACCGTGTCGAGGGACGTGAAGACAGAGGTCCCTCCGGCAGCGTCTCCTTCGAGGGGCGCGGCGTCGTCGGTGAAGTCTTGGTCCAACAGGGAATCAGCGCCCAAGGAGGACCGTCTGCAGGTCTTGTCGTATACGAGGTCCTCATGCTGCAGGAGGAAGGGGGGCGGTGTCGTCGTCGTGTGAGGTGGAACCAAGGGGGATTTTTTTTTTTTTTTTTTTTTTTTTGGGGGGGGGGTCGAGGTTTGATGATGTTTGGTTAATTTGTGATGCTTTAAGTTGGTACTGTTGAAGGCTTTCATGTTGTTAGGAACTTGGGATCTAGAATGGTGCTTGTAACAACTTTGATGTTATTGAGAACTTGGGATCTAAAATGATGTGTGTAACAACCTTGATTTTATTACTATTATAGTAAGCTATATAAAAAGCCACAATGAAAAAATCGAGATTTATACCACCAAAGGTGTCAGTGCAGGTCGAGATACAGTTAAGAAAAAATGAAAGAACAGAAAGTCAGCTATTTACGCAATAAAAACATGTTAACTGATCTTTTAAACTTATCAAGAGTCGGAGAAGTTACAATCTCTGAAGGTATTGAGAACCTATGCTCTTTAACAATTTTGAACTTGTGATCTAAATCAGTGATTCTTAATCTTTTCAGTCACATATCCCTTTAAGAATACGAACCCTTTCCCAAGAAATATCCACATAATCATAACTTTTCATGCTATGTATATAATGTACTTTATCAATTGAGATTTGATTATCTACAAATACGAGATACACAAAATATAATTCAACTCCGAAATAGATAATAATAGTAATGATAATAACAACAACAATAATAAAAATATGTTAATTCCACATAACCATTTCACGGTCCCCAGGTTGAGAACCCCTGATCGAAATTGATGATAGGTTGTGATTTAAATTGATCAAGAACTCTCTCTCCTCTTTAAATACTGCACATAAACACTTGGGTTAATATACATACATACATACATACATACATACATATATATATATATATATATATATATTATATATATATATATATATATATATATAGTGACAGCTAAAAGTCACTGCAGGCAAGGAAAAGGGAGGGAGAGGCAGGCAGAGAGAGGGAGAGGCAGAGGCAGCGAGAGAGAGAAGGGGAGGGGAAGGGGAGAGATCAGGTTGACAGAGAGGAGAGGTATATCATTGTAGAGGCCTAGTTAAAACATTCGACATTTCCCACTCAGACTATCTAATACTAACAAAGCATGCAGTTTGTCTGTCCCGTGATACATTTGGTACATGTAAAGATGAATGCCTGTTGTGTTTGCAGCTAAGCTCTATACCTAATAAAGCAAAATACTTTGCATGCAGGTTGTACTATTTCAGACAACATACCACGCAGATACGAATGAGAGAGAGAGAGAGAGAGAGAGAGAGAGAGAGAGAGAGAGAGAGAGAGAGAGAGGAGAGAGAGGAGAGAGAGAGAGAAGAGAGAGAAGAGAGAGAGAGAGAGGGGGGGGGGGAGAATGTAAACAAACCTTCAAAACCCTCTGCGGGAAACGTTATAAAAATATTCTGTCTACCGTTTCTATACAAGTTTTTACCTTGAGGGAGTATCTGCTGGACACAAGTGACCCTACACCCTTGCCCCCACCAAAGTGTCCTAAGTCCGTCATCAGGACCTAAGGGACGAAACTGATCCTTATACCTTATCCCCAACTCACCAACGTGTCCTGAAGGGCCTAAGGGACGAAACTGATCCTTATACCTTATCCCCCATTCACCAGAGTATCCTAAAGGGCCTAAGGGACGAAACTGATCCTTATACCTTATCCCCCACTCACCAGAGTATCCTGAAGGGCCTAAGGGACGAAACTGATCCTTACACCTTATCTCGCACTCACCAACGTGTCCTGAAGTCCGTCGTCAAGAGGACCCAAGGGAAGGTCCTGTAACTCCACGTCCATGATTTCTGCGACGGGCTCTGAGTTCGTCTTTCTCTCCAACAGGTTGTTTGTCGTCTCTCTCGCGTCCTCTTGGCTCCTGTGTGACCGCTTGTAGGCTTCCATACTGGCGTGTTTTTGTTCGTGTGTGTTTTCTCTCTCTCTCTCTTTCTCTCAAACAGCTCGCACAACCCCCTGTGTCTGGTGGAAAGAGCAATAGAGTGGCCTTAAACGTGGTGG